CATCAGGTACTCCCTGATGATGACAAAACCTTGTCGAAACGTTGTACATTTGCTGTCATGTTAAACTTATATTAAAGTTTTTCTTCATTACCCATTTAAGCCGTCTCCAGCCATTATATGTTTAGTGTGTTTGTTACCATTAGCAAAAAAGTAGCATATCATTTCGAATATTCCATTGAATTAATTGTAACTTTGCAAGATAGAAACGGTTTGTTTGTTTTGAATTTTGAGGAAAGCTACACGAAGGCTACCTGCGTTAACCATCCCTAATTTTGAAGTGATAGACCATAGGAAATTCGGCTAGTTAACACCACCCACTGCCAACTCTTGAGCTACTCTTTACCAACGAATTGTGGGATTGACAGCCACATTATGACGCCGCCATGGCTGAAAGGGCGAGCATATTCGGGTATGGAATTCGATCCCGTGACCCTTAGATTAGGAGCCGAATGTTCTAACTTGCATCTATATGCGTATAATTACTGTATCTAAGTATAAATTTTGTTGAAAATGTTTTTTGCTACGCAAAAATATAAACTTCAAAAGTAGTACTCCCATTACCTTGTGTTTAAAATTTCAGAGTAATATATAATAATAACCAAAATAATTATAATTTATTGAAATTTATACAGACTCTCTCCTTAAACAACTAAATAACAAGAAAACGTGCTAAGTTGACTGGAGAGAAGGACAACTTTAGTAAGTATAACGATGAACATATCTAGATAACTGAATAGTATGACAACATACCTAGATAACTGGATAATAGGACAACGTACCTAAACAACTGGATAACGGGAAAACGTACCTAGACAACTGGATAATGGGAAAACGTACCTAGACAACTGGATAATGGGAAAACGTACCTAGATAACAGGATAATAGAAGAACGTACCTAGATAACAGGATAATAGAAGAACGTACCTAGATAACAGGATAATAGAAGAACGTACCTAGATAACTGAACAGTAGAACAACTTACATAGATAACAGGATAATAGAACAACTTATCAAGACCACTGGATAATGGGACAACGTACCTAGATAACATGATAATAGGAGAACGTACCTAGATAACAGGATAATAGAAGAACGTACCTAGATAACAGGATAATAGAAGAACGTACCTAGATAACTGAACAGTAGAATAACTTACACAGATAACAGGATAATAGAACAACTTATCTAGACCACTGGATAATGGGACAACGTACCTAGACAAGTGGATAATGGGAAAACATACCTAGATAACAGGGTAATAGGAGAACGTACCTAAATAACAGGATAATAGGAGAACGTACCTAGATAACAGGATAATAAGAGAACGTACCTAGATAACTAAACAGTAGGATAAATTAGACACCTTGATAGTAGAACAACTTACATAGATAACAGGATAATAGGACAACGTACCTAGACAACTGGATAATGGATAGTAGGATAACCAGACTATAAAACTGTATGGTAGGATAACCATTCTAGATAGCTAGGTAGCTGGACAATCATCCTAGATAGTTAGATAGTAGGACAACCAGTCAAGATAACTGGATAATCGTATAACCTGCTTTCATAACTAGATAACAGGATAACTATTCTAGATAGCCAGGTAGTTGGACAATCATCCTAGATAGTTAGATAGTAGGACAACCAGTCAAGATAACTGGATAATCGTATTAACCTGCTTTCATAACTAGATAACAGGATAACCATTCTAGATAGCTAGGTAGTTGGACAATCATCCTAGATAGTTAGATAGTAGGACAACCAGTCAAGATAACTGGATAATCGTATAACCTGCTTTCATAACTAGATAACAGGATAACCATTCTAGATAGCTAGGTAGTTGGACAATCATCCTAGATAGTTAGATAGTAGGACAACCAGTCAAGATAACTGGATAATCGTATAACCTGCTTTCATAACTAGATAACAGGATAACCATTCTAGATAGCTAGGT